CTGGAAAATGAATCCCACAATATCCCATGGCACAGGAATCAGCTGGGGGCCATGTGACCCTCACTGGGATCCAAACCCACTTCTCTGGAAATCAAGCAACTCAGGAAATGTCAGGATCAAACCTCCTTTTTCCAAACAGCCCCCCTTCCCAAGGTGGGATAAATGCAGGGAAGGTCAGTGCCAAACCACCAGTGCTGGGAGTATGGATAAATCTCATTTTCTCCCTTCCCTGTACCCGAGGAGCCCCTGGCTGTGGGAGAGACACTCCAGCGCTTTAATTAGCAATAACTTTAATCAAGCCTTTAATAACATCCTCATTCCAGACGTGCTCTCCGGGTGGCCGACAGCAAGCATTCAAATGGCTCTAATTTATATCCAAACCCTCAGAAACAGGTGGCAAGCCTGGAAAATTCGATTTGGAAACAGCACCAGCAGGGCAGAGCTGTAGGGCAGCAGAAGCTTCATCACCCAGCTGCCTCCAGCCCTTCCCTACCCCCCATCCTCCCGGGAAGGGCAGAGCTGTAATTCCACAGGAGTTTAATTCTCAACACGCCCAAGCCCAGCCTTTCCAGCATCCATCTGGGCAGTCAGCTACATTCTGCTCCTACAAGAGGATCCTAAATATTTTATAAAAATCCATGTTTGACTTCACCACGTGCTCGGTCCAGGGTGGGGAAGGGGAAAATGGTTAAAGAGGGGAGGAAAATAAAATCGGTATTTTTGCCAACTGATGAAAAATCCCTTAAACTGATGAAAAAAACAATTCTATTGGTGAAACCCCAAGCCCAGCAAGCCTAGAAAGGCAGAGGGGAGAGCAGCAGAGGAAGAGGCAGCGCAGATGGGAGGGAGAGGTCCAGGTGTTTGCAGCTGCCTCCCTGAATGCGGGAGTGCCGGCAGTCTGTGCCGCAGCCTGCCCGCCCCATTTATCTTCCTTCGGAGCTGGGACATGCCCAGCATGGAAAAAGGTGCTGCTGCAGCAGGTAGGGAGAGCCCTTGCACTTTGGTTTGCCGAGGATTCGGCCGCTGGAAGCAGAACTGCAGCGAGGGGACGGCTTGGCTGCTGCAGCAGCTCTGCAGATGCTGCCAGGTGGATGCTGCGGCTCCTCCAGCCTGGAAGAATCGGGGCTGACCCCACCAGCAAGCAAAGAAGCCATCAGCACCCTCCAACCCGAGCCAGATACTCCCTCTTGGATTTTGGAGCCGGGCTGGGAGAGGGAGCTCGACCCAGTGTAGCCATGAGCAAGCAGCCAGGAGCACCCTCTGGAGCTGCTGGGTGCTTCCCACCCATCCTCTGCTCCACAGCAGCCCTGTCCCTGCAGCTTCATCCAAACCCCCTTCATCAGAGGGAAGCTGGGAATTGGGATACCAGTGGGAGGTGAGAGCCCAAGGCTACCCATGGCAGCAGCCAGGAGGAATCCAGGAGGTGAAGGTTGTGTTTGCAGAGGCTCCCACCCAGAGCAGCACCTGGAGGTGCCGGCTACAAGGAAGGGAAGCTCCCCCTGGTGACAAAAACCTTCTCCAAGAACTTGTCCCCCCCACATGACTGTTCCCATATCCCTAATTCCAGCACATCTTCACCACTACGTTCCAGCTGCACGACCCATTTATTCATGGTCCTTTTAACGGTAAAGAGCTTGACCAAGAGACCGAGGTTTGGGCACACAGCAAATCCAGGTAATTCCCCTTCTCTACTGGCCAGGTTGGATGGGGCTTGGAGCAACCTGGGCTAGGAGAAGGTGTCCATGCCCTTGGCAGGGCGTGGCACTGGTTGGTCTTTAAGGTCCCTTCCAACCCAACCATGCTGTGATTCCGGGATCCTCTCCTTCAGGAAAGCAAAGGGTAACTCACCAAAGAGCATCTCTTACTCACCTCCCCGGCCCCGCAGACCCGGCTGCCATCTCCAGCAGGAAGGCGGCTTGAGGAGGATCCTCCTCAGGGAAGCTGGGCTCGGTGCACCCGTGTGCCAGGGCAGCTGAGGCAGTGGTGAGGCCGCACAAGGTGCCTTTGGGAAGGGCGCAGAGGCAGCAGCTGGATGCAAGGAGCGGGAAGGGAGCAGAAAGGCACAGCTGCAGCTGGCAGAGGCCGGGCTCCATCCCCGGCATCGTTCCTTGGGCGCTGGAAACAATGGCAGAGACACCGCAGCAACAGCAAACACACCCCTGCAGCACCTCCCCGGTGACACAGAGCCCCCCAAACTCCTCCTGCCCGCACAAAAACCTCCTGCAGCACCTCAGCCTCCCCGAGGAGCTGCTCCTCCCGCCCGCGCTGCGCTGCACGTGCTGAGAGAAGAGACCCAGAGCTTTCCAATGAGACAGGTATTTATTTCGTTCAAGCACTAAGGATTTGTTCTCTTGTTGTTGTTGGTTCATATTATCAAACAGAGCTGAGGTACCAGTGACATTCCAACATGAAGAAAAGGAACCTTTTTTTTCCCCTTACACAATTTCTTCAACTACTTTTATCAAGACAAAACGTGAGGCATGGAATAGCTGCATGATGGACTGTACAACGAACAAGCCAGAGCAGGGAGGAGAAAAGAAACAGAGCCGAGACCTTCACTAAAAAAAAATCACACAAAAATCAGCATTAAGAACACCTGTCCCCATGGCTCCACTGGCCATGCCCACAAAGCAAAAGAAAATTAAAATCTAAAACCTGACAGACAGATGGCAAAAAAGAAAACAAACAAACAAACAAAACAACTAAAAACAACAACACCAAAAAAAAACCCCAAAAAATTAATATAAAGACCACGTTGCTTCTGGGCTCACCTTGGAAGTGTGTTCTCTCTGGAGAGCTGGGATGAGGACAGGACTGAGCCCTGTTAAGCACAGGCTATCAGCAAGGACATGCACTGAACGTACCTGGCTCGTCCATGCTCCTGCAGCCCCCAGACGGAGCTGTGGGAATGCTGCTCTCCAGACCTTTGTTTCCAGTGAGTTCTGGACAAACCTGCTCTCAGGTGTTCCAGGAAAAGCATCCAGGCTGCTGGTCCATCACAGCCCGTATGGACTAAGCCAGTTCCTTAAATCCAGTGCTTAAAGCCTGGGACTGTGGGAAGGAGAGGGGGCTGGTTCTATCAGAAGCTAGAAAAAATAGGATGTGCTTGTGGGGAACAGCCAAATGAGGACCAACAGAAGCTGCATGGAGAACCAAAGGAGAAAAAAACAAACCAAAGCAAAGGAAGAAGCAGCAGGATGAAGCATTTCAGCACGATTAAGAACAGTACAACAAAGGAAAAGCAGCCAGGTTTCCTTCCCCCAGAGAGTTTCTTTTAAATAAAGAATGATCCTTTGTCACATATCATTGATGTTTATTTCAAGACATGCCACGTCAAAAAAATTCGCCTTTAATATTGCATTAGAAAAGCACTTTTACATCTCGTTCTGCCTTTAAGTTATTGTTGTGCAGAGTTGCTAGAAACCCAGGGCGGGGCGTGAGCCTGGCATTCACCTCGGGAATGAAGAATTCCAACTCTTTTATGCCCGCTTCCTGGAAAAAGTGGTGGTGAGGACGATTCCCTTCCTCTCCCCCAGGTGGTTATTTTAGATGGTAGAGAGAGGGGCAGAAGAGAACCAAGGAGGAGCCTGAAAATTCCCTTGCAATTGTCCATTTAATTCGCAATCGCAACACAGACTCGAGAATTCCTTCCTGCACTGTAACTCGGCCAGAGTCGCCCAGCAAACAATGTATTTACAATTGTGTTTATTAACTTACACAGCAACTTCACAATGACTAGTAAAGATTAAAAGGGTGCACTTCTAGTGTGTTTCATTCCGTGTTTCTCGGGTAGCTACATCTCGCAACATCAGCAAAGCTCTACACAGATTCCTCAGCCAAAGGAAAACAACAAAATCAGCACTGAAAAGAGTAAAAAAAAATTAAAGCCAAGAAATAAATATCAAAGAAAAAAGGGTTAATTGTGAGCCTAATTCCATAGAAAACTAAATTACTAATTATTTAACCAAACTATACAGCTCTAGAGAACCAAACTAAACCAACTTGGAAGACTGAACATAAAAATAAAATAAACAAAAAAGAGCTAAAAAATAAAGGCATAAATCTGCATAATCAGAAGTTGGTTTCCATCCTACTCAAGCCCCTCCCTTTCCATCTAAGATGTCTCAACTAGGATTCTGTAGGATCAAAGTAAACACCCCTTCCCCACCGATCTATGCCCACGCCCTGGAAAAGCGGGTGCCATTCCCCCTCTGCTGGGGCAGCCAGCTGCTCTTCCCTCTTTCTCCCAAATTTCCAAGGTTTCAGTCAGCTTTGGCAGGTTTTAGTGCCAGTCCTGATTTCAATATTTCCCCTAAAGAAACAAAGAAGCAAAATGCTTTCTCTTCCAAACAGCTGAACTGTTACGTTCCCGTCTCTTGGGCAGTAATAATTCACTTAATTGGTCTTCTACTTAAAAAGGAAAAAAAAAAATGCTCTGAAAATTCATTTTGCACTTGAAACATTATTTCCCTGTTTCCTGCAAGTGTTTTGCTAATGCACATCCACCCTTTCCTTCCCCCCACAAATCCTCCAGAAGCCACTCAACCCAAAGAGCCCGTCCGTATTTCCCAGTAATGCTTCCTTGGAAACGTGTCCCCACTGCCTCGGTGAGAATTCCCAGCTCCAGCAGCCGGTGGTGTCCAAGCCCTACTAAAGCCAGACTGGGTCTGGACACCAGGCAGACTCGCAATTAAGAGCTTGGGGTTAATTTGTTTTTAATTACAAGGATAAGCCTTCAACCCTTGGCATCTGCTGCCTCCCCCCATGATTCCGCCTGCTGTCTACGCATTCCCAGTTTCTGAGAGAAATTCCAATGGGTCAGATTTGCAAGCCTTCTTCTGCACATACATCTCATCTAGGCCCAATTCCAAACTTACTCAGTTGCCATCATTTCAAAGTGCAATATCATAACATATTAAAAAAGGAAGAAATATTAAGAAATTGTACCTATTTTTTTTTGATTGGATTTTCTTTTTTTTTTTTTGCTTTTGTTTTTTTTTAAAGTTATACCTAGAATACGGTGGAATATTTTGGCTTTTTTTTTTTTCTTATAAATAATGAAGACACTGACATTTTGTTGGGGGGTGTGTGTGTGGGGGGGGTGTGCTTGTGAAGCTAAAGATCATCTCCACGAGACAGCCAGCGATGATGAACTGCGATACGTTATTACGGAAAGGGGAAGGTTCAAGCCAATATTCACACTGCAGTCAATGAAGAGGACAGGGAGGGAAAGCAGTGATGTTCTGGAGAAAGGTGGAAGCCACATGGTATTAGCAGGAACAGCCTCCTTCACTGACAGGCTGCTCTTGAGGCTTTTCCAGTTTTATGTCAATCACTGGAAGGAGGAAGTTAAGGCAAACTGATCTCCAACTCTGTTTCCCTACCAAGAGCAGGATTTTGAATGGCATTTTCAGTGCTTCCCACTGAAATACTGGAAAAGACCAGCTCCAAACCAAAGGTTTCTCACCTGCCCCTCCTGCCCTGGCACTGGCACATGAAATTTGCAGCAGAAAAGATGTCAGACCCTAATGCGTGTCTCTAACCAGTCTGCTCTTCCCAGCAACCCCACTGATCACTTGCTGTGGGAATTCAAGATGCATGGATACACAGAAGGGTCTAATCACTGCTTCTGCAGAACCACAGAATAATTCAGGCTGGAAGAGCCTGCTGAGAGCTCCAAGTCCACCTGCTCCCCCAGCACTGCCAAGGCCACCAGCATCTCATGTCCCCAAGTGCCACATCCACACATCTTTAAATCCCTCTGGGAATGGGGGCTCCACCACTTCCCGGGCACCAACACACACCATCCACCCCCAGAGCTCCGGCTGTGCCAGCCCGACCTCCTCACCAATCCTTGCTCAGTTAAACCTCTCTGCTCCCTTCAGCAGCCAGCAAAGCCCTGCCAGCAGCCTGAAATCCCCCTTCCAGGGACAGCTGATGTCCCACAAGGTCACTGCAGAGCTGGCTGCTCACAACCTGCCTGTGATAAGCAACTCCCTCTGCAGCGCTGGAATTCCCAGCAGATGCCCTCCAGCTACAGCCTCACTGAGCCTTTCCCAGGAGGAGCTTCGAATGCTAATCCCCAGCTCAGAGCTGTTCACCACAAGTCTCCAGCGCTCCCTTATCACAGAACACAGAGGCAAAGAGATCACACAGCTGGTGCTTCCAACTTATTTCTTTAGGGGGTTGAAGTTGCTTTTTAAAGAGGTTTGGAGAAAATAAACATGGAAATGGAAACAAAAGACAGGCAATTCATCTCCAGTGTTTGGTCCACTTGGCTGATTTAAAGCTTAAAGTGTGTTTAAGTTGGAGACGCTTGACATGAGCTTTGCCAGCTTCATCTCAGGACATGAATGGGTCAAGATCCTTGAACCCTCCCTGTTTTGCAGAAGTGCCTCCATTAATCCTAATGCAGCTGCCTCGGAGAGAGGATCCTATCCATCCCTGCTATCTGCAGGCTGCAGGAAGCCCAGTTCCCAGTGCCCTAAATGCACTCCCATTTAGAGACTGCTGATGCAACTCCCTGCCACAGCCTCTGTCTGTGCACTCTACCCCCCATCATTAATAAAGATTGTTGCTCATTAACCTTTTGGGGACCTGCATAACAAAATATTTCTGATCACTCAAGTCCCAGTCACACAAAGCCTGTGCCTCAGCAGCTGCAATCCCCAGCTTCCCAAACCCTTCTTTTCCCCATGCATCAGATGCTCTGATGGAATTTCAGTGCCAGCCTTGTCCCGCTCCCACAGTTCATGGGACCTCCTTCCTCCAAGGCACAATTTCTCCTCTATTTATCAACTCCATGATCCCTGCTGCAAATAAAACCAACAACCCTGGAAAAGCTGCTATTCCAAGCACACCCACCTGGCCAGCCTGGTGATGCCAGTGCAGCCATACAGCTTTTCAAGCCTTTTCCATCCCTCATGCCAACTGCTTTCCCTTGGCTGCCCTAGGAGGTTATGGGATCTCCATCCTTGGAGATTTCCCAAGTTTCCCTGAATGAGACCTGCAGAAACTGGCTCATCTGGGAGTCAGCCTTGCTTTGAGCAGGAGGATCAGAGAAGAGGCTTCAGAGGACCCTTCCAGGACAGCTTGGTTTTGGATTCTGTCAGCTCTGCAAGAACCACGGGGGTTTTTGTTCAGACCTCTTTGCAGCTGTTTTCTCCCACCTTCCACACATTCAAAAACCATAAAAGAATCCTTTTGGATCACCATTCCTTCCCCTGCTGCCTCCACCCTCAGCACCCCTGCTCCCAAGCCTTCCAACCTAGCAATCCTCCTTCCTCAGCTCAAAGGTTACTTGCCCCTATTCCCCCTCTCTTTGGGATGTCCAGGAGCTGCAGTGGATTATCCTGGTGCAGGGTAACGCCTGGCACAGGCACAGAAAGGATACTGTCTTCTCTACTTTTGTCTTGTGTGCTTTCCATCCCAGGCAAGGCAGCTGCCACACGTCGGAAAAGCTGCAAAGAACCACACAGGGAACAGATGAAAACAACAGCTCCCCCCGGCTGAGGCAGTTCAAACAATGACTCAACACATCCCCCAGCACTATTTACACTGCTCAGCCCCAAAATCCTGACACCAAATATAACCTTTATTCCTAGAAAAGGGCAAAGCACAGCTCTTGTTAGTGGAGATCAGAGAGCTGCAAGCAGCAAACCTCCTGCACCTTCTCTGAAAACAGGATGGGTGGGATCCAGAATTTCACCCCACACCTGCCATGCATGTCCATGGACCCCAACAACCTCCCCATGGCAGGTGGGAATTAGGTTTTCACACCTCCCCAGAGGATTTCAGAGGAGCACGGAGCACGGACATGCTGCTGAAGGCAAACACACCATCCAGGAGCCTGTCACCACATCAGCCAAGCTGATACACATGGAAGAGTGTCAAAAAATTGGATGCATGGAAAGGATTTCTCCCATGCCTCACCTATCTGTGACTCAGGCTCCTATGGAACAGATAAAGGAACGCAGCCAAACCTAATCCTCATTTTTTGGTGCCCACTCCATGGTTTTCCTATGTCCACATTCAGGGCATAAAGCACAGAACAAAGGCATCCAAAGCCTCTCACTTGAACACCACCTCCAGTTTCCCAGCAAGGTCTGAGTTCCCAACTCTCCTAATGGTTTTATTCCACTTGAAGGAGGTGAGATGGAATGGGACCGATTCCCTCTCCTGCATTTCCTAACTTTGCCCCTGAGGTTCAGACTTGTAATTCCCACCACATGGCTCTTCCTGGGCCCTCTGGGTGAGGACCCTGTAGATAATGCAGGAGAAGTGCCCTGAATTCAGCTGCCTGTCCCCTCTGCACAGGATGCTTTCCCTCCATCCCGTGTTCCCAGTGCATCCCCAGCGCTGCATGGGAGTCCCGGATCGCGTGCTGCGGGCCTGATGTCAGACCTGGTGTGTTCCACTGCTGTCCTGCCTCTCCTCAAATGACACAAAGCTAAACCACTTATTCCCAGTGACCCACTTTCCACAGAAAACCCAGCCAAGCCACTGCCAGCCTGTTTACATCAGGGATGTGGGTACCTGACCAGCCCTGCAGGTTCCCGCCCAAGGGCTTTCCCCACTTGGGCTCCCAGTGTCCCAGTGATGCTCTCACCATCCCAAGACAACTTTGTTGGCTTGACAGCCCCCTCCAAGCTCACCACGAGCAAGCCCCCAGGTTTGTCTGAGATCTTTCTTGGCAGGAATCTGGCACACACTGGAATCTGAGCCAAGGATGGGTCTGAGAAGTCAGGACTTGATGTAACTAGTTCAGCCAACAATTCCAAAGTAAAAAATCCTAGTACGCCTCCCTCTGTGTTTCTGTGAATCTTTGCCATTAACCTGGACCTTTCAGCCTCTCTGAAAACCTCACAGGGAAATCCTCACAGGCCAACCAGGAAGTAACAAAATTCCAGATGCTAAACTCTACCTAAACCAACGGCAGGAATGCCCACACAGAGGAAGGGTGAGGAGTCTTTAAAAAATCCTCAGCTGATGGAACCAACTGGAATTCCTGCATTTAAACCACACTGCTGACAGAAAGGCTATTTAAAAGACAGTAATCCTTTCTTTACATTAAGACCAGGAATAAAATTATGCTTTTAGCAGTATTTCTCCCCTAAATTATCCGACTAAAAATAGGAATTTGGCAACTAAGAAAAATCAACTTTATTTCTTATTAACCTTCTGCTTATCAGCCCCAGCATATGTGAATAAATCCAATTAGGGAAACTTCCTGATGGTTGGAAAGCAGCCTTCCCACAGGGCCCTCTGAGCTTCCTGGTGTTGTCAGCCCCGAGCCAGAGTGCGTCTGTACACACATGTACATGTTTAAATGTTTGTGTGGGTATAAAGACACAAGTATTGATGAGCATCCAGGACTTTTTTTCCAAGGCAGGAGCTAAATGCAGCAGCTGAAAGACTAAAAGCCACACAAACTCTCTTTCAGTGCTCAACTCTGCAATCTGCTTCCTGATAGAAACTCTGGAAAGAAGCCTCATCTCTCACCATCAGTTTCAAGTCATTTGCCAAACTGTGCCTTTCCTGCTACTCCAGCCAACAAATCCCAACAGATCAGGGTCACAAAGGACTGCAGGCATAAACACTCCAGCAGCAATATGGAAAGGACGGGAGGATCACTGTCCAGATGGAAAAGCCGGGCAAGAAACCTGTTCCCCAATGCAAGGCAAATAAAAATCTCTCCCTAATTCTCATTCTCTGCTACTCTGAGGGTAATTCTTGCCCATCAGATGGGTAAGAATCAGAAGACAGGAGAAAGAGCCCAGCTCTGTGAGAACAGGGTTACAGAGGGGCTGTGCTCAGAGAGCTGCTGCCGTGAGAAAGTTCTTCTGCCAAGGACCATATTCATCCCCTGGCTCTTATAGGGCCAGCGTGGAGCGTGCCAGGTAGTGCTGGAAGGAGCAATTCAAGAGCTCTCCCTCTCCTCTCTTTCTACAAGACATCAAAATGAACCCTGACATATTCTGGGCATGAAATCCATGGACTAACAATAAGATTCACTGAAATACAGAGTGCCGAGACAGAACAGGAATCGCAAAGTCTTTTAAAGCTTATTCAGGGCTGACAGAATGAATCAGAGACTACAGCTCTCTGCATTAAAAGGACCACCTTATCTACTTCTCTTCTCCAGCTTAAGGCTCCCTTGGCAATCAGTCTTTACAGGATCCAAAAGCCAGTCTTTTCCCCTCTGCTGCACTGGTTTAACCCCACAATGACACTACCAATGCTTTTATTCCCTAATATCCACTCATTTTTCCTTCAACACTCCCTGCCCAAAGGCAGAAGGAACAGTAAGTGTGAAGGACCTTGGGGACTGCAAACAGCTCTGCAGTCAGAGATCCAACAGCAGCCAGCACTGAGGTGCCATCCTCAGAGCTCTCCCCTTTCCTGACACAGGGAATGGCAGGAAAAGCTTGGCAGCAGCACAGTTCCCTCTGCCTCCTTGCTGGTGGAAGATCCTGGCACGGGAATAGCTGCTGTTGGAAGTACAGAGCATCTCACCTACTGGGGTCCCAGCACAAAGCCAGGCCCTCTGGATCTGCAGGGAGCTGGAGGCAGTGCCCTTCCCTCCTATATCTTCCAGAGGAAAAGGATGAACCAGAAGCTAAAAGCAGCACTAAAGGACAAAAGCCCTCTGGATTCCCACTGAGGAGGAGCAGCTGGAAGAGTCACAGTCACTCCCTCCCCGAGCAGGACAAGAAATTCAGCTGTTTCTGGATGAAAATTCTGTAGGAAAACTAACTGAGACAGTGATTGTTCTGCAGGATCAAAATATATTGTGGGGAGAAGTTATCAGTTATGGGAAGGTCAAATTTGCATTCAGCTTATTAAGGATTTCACACAGGTTATGGGAAGGAGATCCATTCTGCAGCTGTACTTTCCCATTTCACTGGGAGACAATTTATTACTAAGTTATAAATTAAATTCACACCATTTAGCAGAGAAGCTGCAAGGAAACAGGGAACTACCTAAGTGGTGGTATTAAAGGTCTCATCCTTTGATAATTGCTTAAACAACTGCTTATTTAACTAATAAAAATGAAAGTTACAAATATTCTAGAATATAGAATAGCTTTGAAATCCTTGAGAATCCCACTCCATGCCTACAATACATGGATCAAAACTTGTAAGAAAAATCAATTTTTAATTCTTTTTGAATATCCACTCATCCCTGTGCACACCATCAAATCCTCAGGGTTCCAGTTGGCCCTGAAAGCCACAACTCCCTCACAGGCTTAGCTACAGAACCTCTGGAAATGTGGCAGGGCACAGAAGCTCCCTGAAGGAAAGAGGGAGTGTAGAGCTCCATCATCACTATCATCATCATCACTCTTCTCAGTGAGGCAACTGCTCTCGGTGCACACCCCCAGGTCTAAGCACTCATTAAGATATTGCAGCACAGAATCCAAACCTTAATTACAAGGCAGCCTCTGTTGTAGCAGGATAATTGGGGGACCCTGGAAGCCAACACATCCATGGTGGGTGATGCAGTGAAACAGCTCTGAGTTAACACTGCTATAATTATCTCATTATATAGGGAATCATTCTGCTACTTAGAGGCAAAGTCAAGGGACATTTTAATAACAGACTCTTTAGCTCTGTCTAGAACATGAAGTAGTTTATAATCCTGTTTTATCACTCCTAGTACCCTTCTGCACAGAAACCATTTGTGTAACTACATATATAAAATGTACATGGAATGTCATCCATACACACAGAATCCATAATGGTTTGGGTGGGACCTTAAAGATCACCCAGATCCACCCCCTGCCATGGGCAGGGACACGTTCCCCTGTTCCAGGTTGCTCCAAGCCCCATCCAGCATGGTCTTGTTCACTTCCAGGGCTCCAGGGGCAGCCACAGCTTCTCTGGGCACCCTGTGCCAGGGCCTGCACACCCTCCCAGGGAACAATTCCTTCCCAATCTCCCATCCATCCCTGCCCTCTGGCATTGGGAAGCCATTCCCTGTGTCCTGTCCCTCCACCCCTTGTCCCCAGCTCTTCTCCAACTCTCCTGGAGCCCCTTTAGACCATGACACCCATGAATTTATGTCTTCTCCAGGTCTGGATTTAAAGAGCCACAGCTCATCTCAGGACATAAACCCTTATTTTTCTGCAGCCCCATCAGTTCAAAAGACCTTTCACTGCTTTCCCCAATTTAAAAGCAACTCATAATCTTCTAAAAATAAATAGCTCTGACTGTCCAGGAATGTTTTCTGGCACTTCCAGTGCCTTCCAACAGAGTGGGAACAGCAGTTGCTCTGTCTCCCTGTGCACTGGAAGCATTTTAAGCCATCATGCTCCTCCTTCACTGGTTTGTTTTATTCACTAAAACAGAATCACAAACAGTCTTCAGACCTGTGCTTCCCCAGCTTTGTGTCTCACTCTCAGTCCAAACAGCAAATCTGGATTATCACAAACCCAGGAAAGTGTGATCCTGTTCACACAAAGCTTCTTCCATAACTCTCCTGTTATTTAAGGGGAAGGAAGTCCCAAATCATGTGATGCAAGGCCAGAGATCCTTCAGAACCTCAGCCAACAATTCAGCTCTGAGGTGTTGCTTGCTGCGCGTGGACTACAATTCCCACTGGCCCGTTTGGCAAAGCTTCCCAAGATCCAGGGAAGTGTTCCTCCCACAAGGAGGGCATGTTACCAGCAGCCACTCACCTGTTTTACATTGTATCCTGCTTTTGCACTAGTTTCAATGAACATTACATTCAACTCTTTGGCTTTCCTTTCTCCTTCCTCAATGGACACTTGTCTGGGGAAGAAACCACAGAGTTAGTGGGGAGAAACCGCATAAAACCCAAATCTGGACAAATACCTTAGTAATTCAGATTTATTACACTTAAAAAAACCCCAAACATTTAAGTGATTTATCTGAAAGCACTCAAAAGTTTTGGGTTTTTTTCCTGCATGGAATGTACAGCTGCTGATAGGTATCACCACTTCACTTCCATGGCACACCCAAGCAGAACTCAGCATTCCAGCAGAACAGCCAAGTGTTTACCCCCAAAATCCCTGTCCAGGAAGCTGTGCTTTTATATCTGAACAATTAGCAATCACAGTCCCAAAATAATCATCAAAACCAAGCTGTTTTAACAAAGGTCCAAGTGTAACCATTTCATTTGGGAGGGATTTTGTCCCGTTTCTCCCTGGATATGTGTTCCACCCATTAAGCAGAACATTATTAAGAACAATATTTGCAACCACTTTATTCATTCACTGGTGTGGGCTGCAGTCAACAATCCCTTTTTCTCCTGACATCTGTACAAGCTGATGATGGTTTTTCAACTCATTCACAGCACTGTGATGGAAACTTGGCTTAGCCAAAAGAAAGAGGGTTTAAAATTGAGATTTCTCTAGTCACACCATCTCCAGGGACAAAAAAAAAACCACATTACAATACAGTCCTTAAAATAAGAGCAAACAGCAGCAGAGTAAGAAAAGCTGGATTTGAAAGCCGGATGATTCCCCCATACCTCTTGTCTGCTAGATCTGTTTTATTTCCCACCAGCATGATGATGACATCGCTGCCCCGTTCCGTTCTGACATCATCGATCCACTTTGTGGTTTGCTGGAAGGAGTTTACATCTATCAGAGAACAGTGGAGAGGGTTATCACTGCAGGTGTCCCTCACAGCTCACCAGGAAATACATCTGCACTCGGAAAGAAAAGCTTCATTTTCTGTGGAGTCGGTGGAGGAGGGTGATGAAGAATCAGCGAGTGGAACCCTGAATCACCCCCACTAAAGGACACGGAAGCTCTGGCATTAATTTCAGATGGGCAAGTGCTTCATTACAGGTGGGTTCAAAGCCCCACAGGGAACTGAGTCCATCTATAATTTGGTTTTGACAGCACTTAAAATGAGAAGTCTTATCACTGGGTTACAGTTCCTTATTTTTTTAGTTCAACATGAAGTATTTTCTGTAGGGAGTGGGGATTATTTTTTGCACTCTACACTGCCCATGGCTTGTGCACCTCCAGAGGTTCCTACAGTTCCCCTGCTTCTCAGAAATCCTCAATCCCAGCCTTGCATTTTGTACACTTGAACCAATCCCTTTTTATTTTCTCTAGGGAATCCCAGGGTTATACAAGACAGCAGCAACTCCCATGGCACTGAACACTTGCCTTCAAAACAATTACTAAATCTTTGCATAAAACAAGAAGCAGAAATTTAACCTCTTCGCAGGCATTTAATGCTACACCCTTAAAAGCTGCAAGGTAAAGATTCCAGACTCTATGGTGCTTGAGAAGTTGCATTCCACAGGGAAAAAGGAGTTGGAGGGAAGCTGCCACAGAGCTCAGCATTTGCCAGTTAGTGACACAAAGAGCATCTGAGCAGACAAAGTAGTTTCAGTACTTAAAAAGGGGGGGGCTCTGCAGCAGTTCTTGAAAAGTATTGATTTTTTTTTTATGGCTTCTACTGCAAAGTAATATATTGCATGCTAGACAGCCAAGACTTGATCACTTGCCAGTGTCTTAATTCCCTTTACTGCTTGGCAATATTGGATTTGCTGGGTCAGGAAAAAATTCAGAGTTCACAGCTAACTTGTAATTTTAGCTCAAAGGAAAGTGCCATTTTTAACAATTAGAGCTTTTCTAGGTAAAGCCCCTATTCCTGGCTGTAATCTTCTAGTATTTATAAATCAAAGGACAAGACCTTATGCATTTGTGTAGAATTAGGCCATTGTTCTCAGTCAATCCTGGTTTAGAACTGAAATTGTCTGAAGGTTTAGATCCCCTAAAACAGAATTTCTGCTCTTTGTCAGTGCAGGAACTGCTAAGTTAAGGGGTTTCTGGACTGAGGGGAGGGACAGAAGGAGCAGGGCTGAAGAAGCACTAATATTTTAGTTGACAAAAATGTACATACCTTAGTAAGGAATGAAAGAGCAATTGTTAAAGGGTAAGAGTTTAGTAGTAAGTTTTACATCTTGCAGCATATGAGAGTGGCTGATTCCAAGGAAAATGTGATGTTAATGCGTTCTCCCCGCCAGCCCGTGCCCAGATTTCATTTGGTGGGGGAGGGTGAATGAAGTGGAGCAAGCTACAAAAGCCTCCAGTTTGAGAATCCAGATACCCATGGACATGAAGACCAAAAGTCACAGGTGATGTTATGACCGAAAGGCAGATGGAAGAGTGCAACGAGAGCAGGCAGGACTTGAGGACTGAAGAAAATGGGGTAGGGAAGGGTTAAAATGGCATTTTGTGAGACAGTTTATACACTACAACAGCAGCAACCACAGGGCTTGTGTGAAACAAGCAAAGAAACCACGTTTTTGTCATGCTAGAATGAAGCCCAAGCAGATGACGTGAGAGGACATGCAAAGCTAAGCTAGAGGATGAAAAGGGCAGAGTATTAGAAATGCAGAATTCCCCCCACTCACTTGTGATATCATAAACAACAACTGCAACAGTGGAGTCACGAATGTAGCTAGGAATCAAGCTCCTGAACCGCTCTTGACCTGCTGTGTCCCATAATTGCAACCGTACCTAACAAAATCAGTCAAACAAGCAAGAAAAATAAGAAAAAAGGTCAAACCCAGTGCAAAATACCTACTTGTGATATCGTAAACTACTACAGCAGCAGCAGAGTCACGGATGTAACTGGGAATGAGGCTACGGAAACGTTCCTGACCCGCAGTATCCCACAGCTGCAACCTGATCTGTGGGTGGGAGAAAATTAAAAAAGCCAAACTGCCACTAAAAATAAAAGAGTAAAGAAATGTTTTACTTTTTTCTTTTTTTTTTTTCCCAAAAAATAGCTAAATAAAAAGGAGAAACTCATGCAGGAGGTGCCTGGGGACTGGGAGCAGCAGGACACTGGCTCCCTACAGCAATCTCTCCCGAGGGATAACAGCAGCCAAACTGGGGGGGGGTGCAGCTTCCCAAAAAATGCTTCCCTTCCAAAAGATGGGGAGTGGAATGGCTCAGCTTCCAAACTGAGAGGACCAACAAGAAAGCTACAGCTGAAATGATGGAATCACCATCCCTGGAAGTGCTCAGAAGTGTGTGGATGTAGGTTAGTGTTGGCCTTGGCAGTGCTGGGGGATGCCTGGACTTGATCTTGGAGGGCTTTCCAGTCTCAGTGATTCTCTGAAATGTTCACCTGCAGCTCTCCCTACAGGAGAAATTCATGCTCTGCTCTCCTTCCTCAGGACTCACACAGGCAACCTCCAGCAGCATGAAGGATGGTTGCTGGTGGAAAAGCTGGAAAGGCTACTCATGTCCGTTTTTCAAGGATAAAATGCTTGTTGTAACTCTAAACTGCAAAGTAACATGCACAGAGAGGCTGAATGGCTCTTACCAGCAAGGCTCTGGAAGAAAAGGCAAGACACGCTAAAAACAATGTGTTTGGCAAGGTGTGCAAGAGTCAGCTGGGCCATGGAAAGCACATCTCAATCCTCAGGCACTTTCCATGAAAACCCATTTACTGGGGCTTTATCCAATCCCATTTATTGGGAGTTTATCCAGTACCACAAGCTTCTGCAGCACTGCAATTTTGTTTCTGCAAATAGCTGAACTGAGGCTGAATTTCTTAATTAAGAATCTGAGCTCATTTTAAACCACAGCTTTGCTTGCACAGAGGAGTGATTTCACTTGATGAGCTAAAACTGCACCAAGCAAGGAAACAAGTCTCATCTGTGAACTCATCAGAGGCCACCTTCTTTTTAAACAAGGAGTATTAAGAAGATGGACCCAGCTATTAACTGGCCACATCTGGCAATTTGTATTTTACCTGTCTTGTGGCATCAAAAGCTAAAGGGTTAAGTATGGTTCCCCTTTCTCCAGATTCCCACCATCATTCACCCCTCAAATTATCTGTATCATCTCTTTCTTCACAGAGGATGACACTAAATTTCTTATCCCCACTGCTGTGTCTCCACAGCACGCCTCAGCCTGGAAGCAGCTGGGAGATGAAGGCTCAGCCTGTGCTTCCCAGTGATCTCAGAAGTGTGGGCTGCACAAAAACCAGATGCTGATCCTCATTCCTACTGTTCACAGAGAAAAGCAACAAAATTTTACTCACTGTTCGATCCTCCAAGTACATGGTTTTCGATAAGAAGTCAATGCCAATTGTTGCCTGTAAAGAGATGAGAAAACCAAGAGCCCTTAAAAAAAATGTCAGAACACCTGTAGTGATTTTCAGGGGAGCAGCAGAAGCTGCAAGAAAAACAGGTTGGGCTTCTTATTTTTAAGATACAGCTTGATTCAATAAGCAATCTCTTTAATATATCCATGACCAGAACAATTCCTTAAAGCACAAAAGGTTTTAAGCTTGACTTCAGTTCATGCATATTGACAGTTTAATCCACACATTTATTTGGGTAGCAGCAGGGATTTTTATGCATGTGACAAATTGGTGTCCCCCAGCTCAACCAGGATATATGGGCACAGTGCCTTCTTCCCAAGTGCCAAATATGTCCATGGATCTTCATTCTTCCAGGCAGATTAAGGCAGACACCTACATGATCCCTAACTAAAGCTTGGTTCATCCTAAAGTAGCAGAGCTGCACCCAAACTTCCCAACACCAGTGGGAGCTTCCTGGAGAACATCTTAATGGCAGTGGGAAGCCATTCCCCCTTGTCCCTAGTCCCTCTCCAGCTCTCCTGGAGCCCCTTTAGGCACTGGAAGGGGCTCTGAGGTCTCTCTGGAGCCTTCTCCTCTCCCAGCCTGTCCTACCAACACAGGGAAGCAGCACTATCAAGGAGTGGATTCCAGCATGCTCAATATACCAGACTTTTACTAAAACAGATCTTCTATGGTATGCGACATGTAGGGCCACAGCACAAAGGAAATCATTCCCAGCATGTCCATGGAGAGAAATTACTCCTGGTAAAATAAACACCTCCAATCACATGGCTTTATTGCAGATGTTTGGGTTTCTGACACAGCACAGCAAGTCCTTACTGATAAGACAGAGGGACACAGCTGAATTCCTCTCATCCAGCAGTGAGCAGAAGGAATCCAATGCACAGCACGGATTTTACTAAATGGCAGCTTTCTATTTTTAACAGCTGAACATAAAAACCCCATGTTCAAATTATAGGTTTCAGAAAAATATGCATTCAAAAATCTGCCAGAAACGTCCAGAACAAGTAGATCATCCCTGAACTCACCTCCTGCTTCAGATACTCATGATCAGGTGCATTAATAGTGGGGTCTCAGGGGTCTCTAGAGAATCCTGGGCATCCAAAAATGTCTGGTTTGGGTTGACACCAACAGGCAGTGTGATTCTGGCCAAATTCCTGGAGCTTTGTGACTGATTCCTTCTTTCAGCTACAGCACACACTAGAGGGGTATGGCCCCACCTCGGGCACAACTCCAGGAAAATCAAGGGGTTTGGATGAATGGCTCTGACCCAACCCCATTAACACCCAAACTGGGCAGGCGGCACTGATGCCTAAATCCAAGTTATCTTGGAAGCCCTTAGGATTTCTCACTGTTGTAAGTATCACTCACTGGTTTTGCAATCATTTAATGTATTACATCAGACCACCTTTCCATGGCGACATCCTAAAGCATACAGGGTGAAACCTCCTCAAGGAAGAACTGGGACACAAACTCAGTAAGGAAAAGAAGCACTCCTAAAAGAAAAATACTGGGGGGAGGATAAAATCTCAGCTTAAATAAAAGAACTGCCTTCAATGTCCATGTAATTACAGTGGGAGGAATCTGGGAGGAAGCAGTGACGTGTGCTCCAACCCTCCCACACTGTGGAAACGTGGCTCTTCCCACAGCTCAGGGAGAACTTCCCATCTCGTTTTTCCTAGCAGCAGAAAGGAGGAATTACTGAAGGAAGCAGGAGGGAAATCTCTCAGTTTGATGAGATCCTTGGATAGACACTGAGGAAAAGGAGAATCACGTTTTCCTTTTTTTTTAATTACCTCCTCCACCCGCCCCCCTAAAAAAACCTTCCCAGGCACAAGGGAAGAGATTTTTCTCAGTTTCGTGTATCCAGAACATTACTAGCTGTAACCAAGTCATGGAAACACGTTCTGCTTGGAGGAGACACACTTCAGGAAACTGAAGTACTTTTATATCTGAATTCTGGGAGCAGGCAACACTGAGTGTTCTCCTGAACTGCTCTGTGCTAATTTGTAAAATTGTTTTGCAAACATCTTAATTTTTTTTTTTTTTACATTTTTTATTATTTTCTAGCTTGTGTCAACTTGTTGTTTAAAAGAGCTGGGCAACTGTTATGTTATCCACACATAGGCATTAGATCTGCGATAGTCTGGCAGAAAATGGTGGAGGCAAATAAAACAAACCCTGGCAGACTTAACAACTGCTATTCCCTGGCTGTGCTTTGGGTATTCCTTTAGAACCACAGCTCATCCTGCTGCAAGCAGCAGGTAAACTCCTGGAGCAGAATCCAACCCAGAAGTGCCACTCTGGCTGGTGATTAAAATTAAGATTTTACAATTGGCAAGTCCATGGTCAGTGCCCCAACTTGTCTGGAATGACTCTTCCTGCAATGGAAGACAAGGCAGAAGAGGATTCTTACACAAGACAAAAATATGTATTCATTTACCTGGTAGGTGTTGTCAAAGCTGTCATACATGAACCTGGTGATCAAGGAAGTCTTCCCCACTAAAAGAAGAGAAAAAAACATGGATTCAAGGACCAATTTCAGAGCAAGTTTTAAGCAAGTGATTTAAAAACGGTTTACTGTGTCCTATACATCCATCATGTGCACTTTAACTTCCCACAAGGACAAGAGCAATTATTTGACTTTACAATTGTAAAGTCACTATTTTTTTCCTGTATCATTCCCAATCATCAGATTTACCCTTAAATATTTATGATTTGAGATGAAAATTAATTTCATTGCTCTGTTTTCTACCAAGTCATTCAGTAATTTTAGTTGCATTGAATGATAACAGCCCCCATAACTAATTATTAGCAACAAAAAGCTCTTCTCACTTGTGAAACATGGGATTTATTCACTCTCAGACCCCATCATCCTCACAACACTTATTTTTCCACTCCTCTAAGACAAACACCACAGCAGAGCTGGGCCAAAGCCTAACTCATACTTTAGAGGCTTTTTCCTTCTCCTGTATCTTTACCTGGAGGGATCAGCAAGATCCACAGGAACTGGAACATCTCCAGCTGCCTCATTTTGATGTGTAAAAATCCTCTTAATTGTAGGCCAGTCATTTAGGAAGCAACTGAAGTTTCTCAGGGCAGCATCACCTCCCAGGGTTTTTTCCAACCTAACTGCAGCTGGAATTTGCCATCTCCCAGTGGCAGAGGAGAGGAACTGTGTGACTTGTGCTGGACACCAAACACTGCATGTGCAGATAAAAGGTAAGAAACAGTGCTCGAGACAGAGCTTGTGTTCCCCAAGCAATATTCCAAGGATTTCAGTTCTTTGCCAGGGTGGCCATCCAGTGAACACAAGGATTTAAGGCAAGATTAAGGTCCGTTCTAACCCAAACCATTCTATGATTTCTGGGGTGAGTTTTGTGGGGCTTTTGTCTGTTTGTTTTAGATCTTAACACAGGAGTGTCACCAAAATCTCCAGAATCCCACTAAGCAGCATTTTCATCCTCATTTAACCCTGAAAAAAGGGCTAAACAAACAGGAATCTGAGAGGTGACATTTTCCCAAGTCAAAATCTGAATTCCCATGTGAATTTCTAACATATTCTGCTCCGGAGGCAGAATCAGGTTTCCCACCAAGTTAAAAAGCTGCCTTCACAAAGGCAGAGCAAATACTCCCTTCTCTGAGTAGGTTTTTGGAAGCAGCACATCTCAGATGGGAATGATTCCTGAATCCCTTACTCAGACTTGTCCCATGAATGTGCTGAACAGCTAGAGCTGGTGCAGGACAAACAGCCAGGAGCTGCTGTGAGGGGAGGAGGGATTCATTCCAGGCCCAGTGACAATCCTCAGGAGACACAGAGAAGCAAACCCAATCCCCTCCTGCTGCAGCACAGGCTGAATCCCAGGAATTGATTTGCAGCATCACAAACAAGCTGGTTTTCCTCACGTGGCCACTGATGCAAACAGCCACATTTAACTCTTCACAGGTCCAGTCTCACTCAGGAAATTATTTACTTTGGTAACTCACGACCCCTGAAGGACAATAAAGTGTTCCAGAATTTTTTTCCCTTCTGAGTGCCACGTCTTGGATGGGATCTGTCCACAAAACATAAAATATGAACATATTCTGTTTATTCCTGGAGTCTCCCTACCCTACCTTCAATCGTTTCACAAAAAGAGGGGGAAAATAAAGTACTGCTTGGCTTGTTTATATTTAAATATCTCTTCAACCAACATTTGGAGAGAGCATCCTAACGGACTTAGTTCCAAGACATTTCTTCTCTGAACAGACCCAGGTTTATGTTGACAGGCAGCAGATCAAGATGGTATTAACACCAACTGCTCAAAGTTTTAATTCCATCAATACTGAGGCATTGCCATTTCTCCTTTTAAAAAACCCAAAGTGACTCCTTTTAGAAATCCTGGCAGGCATGATAGCCCACAGTTGCCACTGTATCTCTAATTTCTGTTCTGCCTTGCTGGCTGTATGTTCCTCGAATTCCCAGAAGGCATTAATTTGGGAGTGACTGCAAGCAAGGGAGAGGACAGATTCAGAATTCAAATTCATCTTGGAAAATGCCAAAATGACCTCAGGAGGCAAATGAAGCTCAGCAGGGAGAAGCAGAACAAGGTAGTACACAGAGACAAGAACAACCAGCTACTTAAAATCCAGATGGGAAACAACTGGATAAGTAAACTGGGGGTCATAGCCCAAGGAACAGATAAGATACTCAAGACTTCAGCTTTGTTTCATTAAGATGTTGGTTTGGGATTTTTTTAAATCTAATGAGTTCATTTAATCTCTTGGAAAAATTTCCACACACAAGTACGTCCAGGGCAGCATTAGTCAGCAATGCAATAAATACCCTTTAGGCAAAAATATTCCTGGTATGCTGCTGGAACAACTCCAAGAAAAAGGTCAATATCACATCCTTGGAGGGACAGAGGTGGGGAGAGGAAATGCTGGGAATGGGGTTTGCTGTGACTGGACACACTGACAGCTACAGGAAGTGAGGGAAAATCTCAAACAATTCAGGAACTGAGAAGGAATTTTTTGGCAAAAAACCAGGCAGCTTGCAGAGTTCACAGCAAGCAGCTGAAAGGTGAGGGGCACAAGTGACTTACTGCTCAGGGAAAGTTGTCAGCCACTTTTCCCTCTGCAGATCAAGTCGTAGCAGCTAAAAGCTGAGTCCAACCACAATCCAAGCAGGAAGGGCACAGAACTGGGAAACTGAACCTCAAAATAACTAATTCATCTGGGCAGTGGATTCTCCTCCCTTCTTTGGCATGCAAAGTTGTCAGTGTCACTCCACTCTACAAATTTATATCCAAGCATCTTTTGAAGAGGAGGGAAGCCAGTAAAGAAGTGATTAACCAAAGAAACCATTTGTTTCAACACCAAGCCTGACATGATGGACATTTTTCTGTCATTAAGAGGCTGAACAACGGCTTCACCAGATGAATTCTTGACTCCTTCCAGCCTTCCATCCAACAAAATCCACATCAAACAGCTGCTAATCACACACTTGTGCTTCAAACATTAAGTAAGTGCTGTGATTATAAAATCCTAGAAGATTTTGGGCTGGAAGGGACCTTGAAGACCAGCTCAACCCAAGTCCCTGCCATGGGCAGAGACACCTGACACTATCCCAATTTGCACCAAGCCCTGTCCAACCTGGCTTTGAACATTGCCAGGGATCCAGGGACAGCCACAGCTTCTCTGGGCACCCTGTGCCTCTCCAACCTCACAGAGAGGAATGCCTTCCCAATATCCCATCCAGCCCTGCCCTCTGGCAGCGGGAAGCCATTCCCTGTGTCCTGTCCCTCCATCCCTTGTCCCAGGTTCCTCTCCAGTTGTCCTGGAGCCCCTTTAGGTACTGCAAGGGGCTCTGAGTTCTCCCTGGAGCCTTCTCCTCTCCAAGTGAACACCCCCAGCTCTCCCATCCTGGCTCCAGCCTTCTGAGCACCTTCTATCATCTTAACTATCAATGTACACTTCTGAAGGGATCCAGCTGCAACAGGGATTTTTAAGCTTGGATCTGACTTGCTTAGATGGTTTTCTTCAGCTGGATCAGCTCTGAAGAATGTGGATCTAGTGGCTCCCATCATGAACTGGCTGCTCACCCCATCCCCATGAATTCTGCAAGGCTGCAGAACTGCCATATATTCTGGGACAAGAAGAAAATGGCTGTTCTGATAGATAAAATTAGGAAACTCCTAAAAGAAAAGGTTTGATCACTGGTTCAGCACAGAAACCAGGAGATGCCCAAACACCAACACCCTCCTGAATCAGCAACTGAACTGTGGCAGCAAACAGCCAAGTGCCCAGAGATGTCTGAGAGGGAAGTTGTGAAGATCCTATCAGCGGAATAGCCATGAACCAGGAGGGCTGAATTCCAAGCCTTCAGCTCATGGAGTCACCCTGGTCGATCCCTTTTGTCTGGGAGCCTGGAGCCACTGCCTGGCAGGGATGAGAACTCAGCTGCAAGATAGAATCAATACGCTGATCTCGTGCTTCCAGCCACTTTGATCCGACAGCGGCCGCTGGAGACATTCCAAGGTCGCTCCATCAGGTTCTTGCAGGCTGCCTTTTGCCTGCTCCTGGGGAGATCCGTGTGTCCAGCAGCAGCCCCAGGAGTGACACAGATCCATGGTGGGCTCCCACCAGCAGCAGCCCCAGGAGGGACACGGATCCATGGTGGGTTCCCACAGCACGTGTGGAACGCTCTAACGAGGCACTGGGGAGGAGGGCCCAGACCCCTCAGATGACACAAATCACCTCCCTGCCAGCATGGGATTAGAAGGTCATTTGTTGCCAGAATTTGCAAAGGGCTCAGGCACCAGCCAGGAGTGACCTGCAAAGAAAAGGAATTGGGGTTGTGGCACTTGGACTGTGTGATGCACAAGGAACGGGTCTGACATGCCCCTCTCATTTTCTTAGTCATATTATACTAGAGATTCACAACCTCTCCAAGGATTCTTCTGGAGAAGCCACATTTAAATCAATGACTTCATCCTAGTGGTTGTTCAGAACTTTCAAAGCATCAGTAATCAGGAAAAAAAAAAAACCCAAGAGTTATCTTTAAAGCAAAATAACCCTAAAAGTGATCAACACGTCCAGACTGTTCAACTGGAAAACTGCTCTTGGCCTCTCCCAGCTCTCAGAAGCAGCCTTGGCTAAGAGATCCAGCCTGCTGAAAGCCAGAGGTAAAGGGAGGAAGATGAGGAAAGCCTTCTCCTCACTGTGTATTCCTAAAATTTCACTTGCCCTTTGCATGACTCCTTTCAGATTTGATTGAAGGATAAACCCCAGTGACACTACAACTTTTTTTCATACATAAGCTCACCTCAAAATCTTCACTGGAATTATTTTGCTGTGAAAAAAACCCAAAAAACTAACCCAAGGCACCAAAAGAAAAGCATTGCTAAGAATGATGTACTGAATTATGAATGCCTCAGAACCATTTTTAGATTTGTGTTTAAAAAGAAGCCCCAAAAGGAAGATACACAGAGTTGATTTTTAATGATCTGTATGAGCCAGTA